GAGACCTTGTACTTTTGGCCGAGTGGTGGACATTCTGGTGGTGCTGTGTCCACTCTTGGTGGCCTGATTACTGGTTACCCATAGGCCTGACTGTGGGTGGTGTCTGCATCACTGACCCTGTGTGAGATAGTGTCCTCCCAGCCCGCCCACCCCCCACCCCCAGTCTGCTAGGTGCATGGTGATCATTTTGGGGGCATCTTCCAAGTGGCCCCCTGGCTGTCTTGTAGGCATGTGGGGGGGAGGGGGTGCTGCAGCAGGCAATTTGACTGCCTCATAGCTAGCCTTTTCATATAGGGTAGTCATCAGGTTTGACCATCAGGGGGCAGCCATCTTGTTTGCCTATTACCTCACTTCCACAGCTATTTGCCTGGCTAGTGAAGATGAAGCAATGTCAGGAGCCTCTGTTGAAGAGGGCCTCATGATCTCTTGGTTGACACTAATTTTCTGCTTGAGGGTAGCTTGGAGGCCATCTTGCTGACCTCCTGCTGATCGGTCTGATAGGGACAGCTATTCTGCAGGTTTCCTAGGCAACCATTTTAATGCTTCAGTTAATGCAATTATGTGGCAAGCATTTTCGCAGAATACCCAAATTTTCAAGATTCCCTAAAAAATCAGTGGATAAGCAAAACATTTTGAAATTTTGTGGGCTAATGGTAGAGAATGCGTTCTACCACTGTAGCAAGTTTCATCATGATAGTTCAAAATGAGGGAGAGAGAAGCCCCTGAATTTTCCCCACTGACAGTAATGATTTCCTTAATGTGCATGCACAATTACTATTAACGAAATACTAACAAAATTTAGTTAGTCTCATTATAGTTACAAAATTTTCATAACTAAAACTTTAGAAACACTTTAGAAATGAAGCGCCAGCACCCCCTAGTTTTGTAAGTACTTTTGAGCCATTTTTTAATGGATCACACATGCCTAGCAATAATATACCAGTCATCAATTCCCATTCCATGGCTATTTTCAAAGAAATTAGGTGTATATGCCAATAATATGGCACAAACATGTTAGAGGCCTCTGATATATTGAGAAGCAAAACTAACATCCACTGGATTAGAAAGGGGCACAGTGTGGAAATCCGTCATGGAATGGTCCATAGTCAACACAAGCCACTGCAACTGCCATCTCTCATGTTCATCAGCTGTAATACTGCTGGAGGATTGTGTAATAAGAAAATTTAATATGCAGATTTTATAAATGTGGATTTAATATGATGTGTGGGAATGAATGGAAGGATGTATGGAGCTAATAATTTTGGAAACACCAGTAAAAGACCCAGGCCTGCAATGACTAACTACCTGCTTTCTGGACTATAATTAAAAGTTGCTAATGAGAAATGAAAAGTAAACTCTGATAAGAACTGGAACAGTGATAACAGAAATGTTTGCAACATTCCTTATGTTAAGAAGGAAGTCAATACCAGTCTTGTGTTTGTCAACACCAATTAAGAACATCAACATCTGGCCAGGAAACTGAGATGGAGCCAGATGGAAGACGTCTATGATTCTAATTTACAACTTTGGGACTACATCAGCAGAATATTCCTATAAAAGACTCAGTCTAATAATGCTCAAAGTGTGGTAGACCTGAGGAGTCTGTTCCACCCATTATGCTCTGCTTCATGGGAAGGAGAGGGATAATGTACCTATGGAGAATGGCAGATTTGCAACGGAGCAGTCTGGTCACCTTGGGGCTTCTTTCTTAAGGGAAGAGGAAGAAGTGCTCTTTTGGAGTCTTAGATTTTGTGCAGAGAGTCAGGTTCTGTTGTATGGAAAACAGAGATCTGGCCCTTGGCAATGTGCTTAGGGAAAGAAGTTTTGGCATTTCAGCATTTTGAAGTTATGGTGTTTGAAAGTTTTGGATCTATACATTGGCAGACTGCAGGGAAGCAGGGCTTGGCCTAACAGGTGCTTCTCCAAGGATGGAGAAAAGGACGTGGTAGCATTTGGATGCATGATGATGAATGTATGTACATGTTTGTGAATGGTGATTGAAAAATGTAATTCTCCGTTGTTTGTTAGCCAATGTAATTGTAAATCCAATGTAGTTGCATAGAATTTGTATGTCTGTATGTCTAAATGTTTTCTATAATCTGATATACCCTCTCACACTGGAAATTGCAATAAAAGGAACCTATGCTTTAAAGTTATGGAAAAGTCATTCATAACAAATTGGTGTTAGAAGTGGGATATTCTTTTCCAGTGTGGGAAAGTTATTCACAACAATTGCAAAATTATGTTAGACCTCCTGGCTCTTGCAGGTGCCCTGTGCATAACAGGGAGAAGAAGAGAAAATCTCATGGAGCTCTGTGACCATCTGGCAATGGTTGTAACATTATTGCTATGATTGTAGTGCACCATCATCAACTTTACTCCTGTTTACCTGACAATTTACCTGACAATCAGAACATAAGTGAATGACCTTTCTGTAAGGTTTGGGAAGAGTCATCCCCGCCCACTCAATGGCAACTTTCCAAGAAACCTGGTTAATATGATTACAATGTCACAAATTTGTTACTTGGTAAATTGAGAAGCAAAGTTACTGATTCAACACATCAAATAAATGAAGAAACATCGCTTTCACATTCCATGTTCTAATCAGTTTTGTTCTTCCATGCAAGACCTGATCAGAAGAGTGTGGGAATTCTTTATACTCTGGTGCGATTACAAGGAACGTGCTATTATTTTTTAAAGATAATATGGCACAACTCCCAATGGGCTTTCTTTGCTGATGCCCAACATACATTTTTGAGGGCTCGAAGAGCTAAAGATAAGGAAACCATCAGGGGAATACAAAAGGGACAGGAAGATGGCTTCTGACCACTCATCCTGCATTTTCTTGTAGGGACACAACTAATGATGCTGTTTCCCTTTGCATTGCTATGAAATCCTGCTATATTTGGCATCATTCTAACTTTAGCACTGATTTCTACTTCAAGTAAGTAATTGCTGGTATCCTGGATGGGGTGTCATGATTACTTTTTAAACATTAAAATATTCTTTAACCCATTGTCGAAGGCTTTCATGGCTGGAATCACTGGGTTATTGCAGTTTTTTTTGGGCTGTATTGCCATGCTCTAGAAGCATTTCACCTGCATCTATTGCATGCATCCTCAGAGGTTGTGAGATTTTGACCTTTTGCCATAGATGTAGATGAAACGTCAGGAGAGAATGCTTCTGAAAACCTACAACAACCCAGTTCTTTAATCCATTTTCAGTGGGACAGATTGCATTAGGCACTCTCAGAGAAAGAAGTAGACACACAGACTTCACTAATAGCTATATTGGTTACACTGACAAAAAAGGGGGATATTCACATATAGTCTAGTATTCACTCATAATTCATCCATTCATCATTCATGCTTATAGTCCTTCATTAAGTTGATCAGCTTTTTGAGAGGAGGCTGCTATTCAGAATGATGTTTCTGCAATTCTGACACACTTTTTCTGAGTGAAAAGGGTCTTTAAATGCTTTATGTAGCATTTTTGTTGTGGTTCTAAATTGACTGACAGCTTGTTTTTCAGCCAAAACTTGATAAAACTCAGTTTCAAAAAGATGTTATTTTTCTTCCTTAACAGATGTTGGTTTTTCTCCTTAACCTAAGGAATCATTGTGTTTGACTTCCTTACCTGAAAGACCAGTTGTCTCTGATTATGTTAAAATGTTTATTTATTTATTTATTTACAAAATTCAATGCCTTACATACATAAACCAAAGAGCCATCGAAAGCAAACATCGTGGGATACTCATGGCAGGAGTCTGTCTCCTTCATGACAATTCATGTCCGCACCCTGCTCATGCAACACAAGAATTGGGATGTTTTAAGCCATCCTTCCCACTCAGTGACTGTCATCTGTTCAGTAAATTGAAGAGACACCTTGGTGGAAAAAAACTTTTCCCACAAGGAGAAGGTGAAACTGGAAGTGACGAACTGGCTGGAAAAGGTAGAGGGAAACTTCTATGACACAGGCATCAAAAACTCATCCCACAGATGACAAAATGTATTGAACTGAATGGTGATTATGTAGAAAAATAATCTAATACCTATGCTCCAATCCATGTAAGTTTTATTAAAATATATTAATTTTTTTGTATTTTAAAAAAATCTTGTGACCTTACTTTCCAGATAAATCTCATACATGTTGCATGATGCACATAGAATCACATGATGCATTGTGCAGGGATGTACAGGCTTGTTGGTTTTACATTCAGTGGCATATTTGGTTGGTTGAACTGCTTGATCTTGGTTGAATTGCACATGGTTGTTGTGGAGCAAAGCAGTGGTGTAACACAATTAATGGTTACTTTTCCACCTATAAATTTCCATGATACAGAACCATTGCAGGACCTAACGGGATGCTTTACCAAAAACATCTGCTGGTCTGTGATTCTTATTCATTCTCTTCCCTTCTAATGTCCATGTTTAACAGAGATATTGTAAAGGCACCTCAAGTTGAGGGATTGTGATTGGCCCATGTTTATTATTTATTTATTTATTTACTTTATTTATATACCGCTTTTCTCAGCCCTCATGCGACTCAAAGCAGTGAACAACATCAATACAATACGTTTATCCAAATGGCAAGAGTCTTAATATCTCCAGGTCATACATGCTGTTGTAATCAACAGGCATTTTTGTAGCTTATGGGGTGCTTAAAGGAATTGAACATGACAAAAGCAACCAGACCTCCCTAGGGAGTTTTTTGGATATTAGGAGTAGGTCCCCCCACCAAACAAATAATTTTGAAAAATCCACACTGTAGCTTGAAGAAGCTCTGTGGCCATGGCTCACACTTTTTCTATCATCTGTCTATCCAAATCATGTTAACTCCAAGGAGCAATACTGGTAATTCCTCTGGGTCTCTCCAGTTATCTGTAACAAATTTGAAAAGTGTATTCCACTATCAAAGGGCTCTTAATATTAGGAAGTTTTTTTCCGTAATGTCAGATGTTCTCACGCCTATTCTCTAGGAATACAAAATTGCAATTGGCCACCTATGCCTGCAACACTATGAGGAAAAAATACGTTCTCCTCCTTTGCCTCCTCCTGATGCCCCTTCCTCATCCAGGTAAGTTCTTATTTTGCCATCCTTAGAAATGTTGGTTTATTCGACAAAGTGGACATCCCTTGTTAATTCACCCTTCCCATGGACATTCACTCAGAGATACATCCAGATTGTATGTAATTTTGTATCTTCATACGTTTCTCCTAAGTGTGCAATAGGCGTGTGTAATCCATAAAAATAGTTCAAAAGTAGTTACAAAACTAGGGGGTGCTGGTGCTTCATTTCTAAAGTGTTCCTAAAGTTTTGGTGGTGAAAATTTTGGAACTCTAACAAGACTACTGAAATTTGTTACTATTTCGTTAATGATAATTGCTCATTCGCATTAAGGAAATCATTACTGTAGGTGGGCAAAATTCAGAAGCTTATCTCTCCCTCATTTTATGAGCTATTGTGATGAAACTGCTACAGTGGTAGAAAACATTTACCACTGTTAGCTCACCAAATTTCAGGACATTTAACTTAACCTCAGAGTTTTGGCAAATTTTCATTTTTTATATATAAAAACAATAATAAATCTGTTCTTGGTTTGAAAGTAGTTGTTCTACTCCAGAAACTTTGTTTGTGTGGCAAAAACTATGTTAAATTGGTGGAGAACAGAAATCAGTTTCAAATTTAGAGTTTCAAATTTAGAACAGTGATGTCTTTTCCAATTGGACAGACCAGTATCACTCCTCCTCTTGTGCTGTACGTAAATACTAAAATTTCAGGATGTTCAGTAAAGTGAACTTATTGATTCATGTGAACTAGAACTCCATCTCATGTATTACTTTTATTATTTTTTTAACAGGAGAGTTTCAACGTGATTATTTTCAAATGTGTACTGGTTTGGGAGGTGCTTGTACCCTCTTCCTATGCCTTCCGGTAAGGATACAAAGAACTTTCTCTGCACTTTAAACAAAAGCTGCATTGTTTTGTGCCTTCCCCACAATAATTTGATAGGGAAAACATGCCCTGGGTCCTGGAAATGAGTATCTTAGGATGCACCTATACTACAGCCTTAATGTAATTTGACATCCCTAATCCTGCCATTGCTCAATGCTATGGAATCAATAGAGCGGTCATTTTACAACGGAACAAACCATAAATAACAGAATCATAGAATCATAGAACCATATAGTTGGAAGAGACCTCATGGGCCATCAAGTCCAACCCCCTGCCAAGAAGCAGGAATTTTGCATTCAAAGCACCCCCGACAGATGGCCATCCAGCCTCTGTTTAAAAGCTTCCAAAGAAGGAGCCTCCACCACACTCCGGGGTAGAGAGTTCCACTGCTGAACAGCTCTCACAGTCAGGAAGTTCTTCCTAATGTTCAGGTGGAATCTCTTTTCTTGTCGTTTGAAGCCATTGTTTCGTGTCCTAGTCTCCAGGGCAGCAGAAAACAAGCTTGCTCCCTCCTCCCTTTAACTTCCTCTCACATATTTATACATGGCTATCATATCTCCTCTCAGCCTTCTCTTCTTCAGGCTAAACATGCCCAGCTCCTTAAGCCGCTCCTCATAGGGCTTGTTCTCCAGGCCCTTGATCATTTTAGTCACCCTTTTCTGGACACATTCCAGCTTGTCAATATCTCTCTTCAATTGTGGTGCCCAGAATTGGACACAATATTCCAGGTGTGGTCTAACCAAAGTGGAATAGTGGAGTAGCATGACTTTCCTGGATCTAGACACCATGCTCCTATTGATGCAGGCCAAAATCCCATTGGCTTTTTTTGCCACCACATCACATTGCTGGCTCATGTTTAACTTGTTGTCCATGAGGACTCCAAGATCTTTTTCACACATACTGCTCTCGAGCCAGGCATTGTCCCCCATTCTGTATCTTTGCATTTCTTTTTTTCTGCTAAGTGGAGTATCTTGCATTTGTCACTGTTGAATTTCATTTTGTTAGTTTTGGCCCATCTCTTTAATTTGTCAAGATCGTTTTGAATCCTGCTCCTGTCCTCTGGAGTATTGGCTATCCCTCCCAATTTGGTGTCGTCTGCAAACTTGATGATCCTGCCTTCTAGCCCTTCATCTAAGTCATTAATAAAGATGTTGAACAGGACCGGGCCCAGGACGGAACCCTGCGGCACTCCGCTCGTCACTTCTTTCCAGGATGAAGAGGAAGCATTGGTGAGCACCCTCTGGGTTCATCCATTAAACCAATTATAGATCCACCTCACCGTAGTTTTGCCTAGCCCACATTGGACTAGTTTCCTTGCCAGAAAGTCGTGGGGGACCTTGTCGAAGGCCTTACTGAAATCCAGGTACGCTACATCCACGGCATTCCCCGCATCTACCCAGCTTGTAACTCTATCAAAAAAAGGAGATCAGATTAGGCTGGCATGACTTGTTTTTGATAAATCCATGTTGACTATTAGCGATGACCGCGTTTGTATTTAAGTGTTTGCAGACCACTTCCTTAACAAACTTTTCCAGAATCTTGCCTGGTATCGACGTGAGGCTGACCGGACAGTAATTGTTTGGGTCATCCTTTTCTCCCTTCTTGAAGACTGGGACCACATTGGCCCTCCTCCAATCTGCTGGAACTTCTCCCATTCTCCAAGAACTCTAAAAGCTGATTGCCAATGGTTCTGAAATGACTTCCGCTACTTTCTTCAATACTCTTGGGTGTAGTTGATCTGACCCTGGGGACTTGAACTAATTTAGAGCGGCCAGGTATTCCTGGATGACTTGTTTCCCAATTTGGGGTTGAATGTTCTCTAATCCCTCATCCACTCCATCTTGTTGAGGCTGCAGATGACTTTCTTTTTGTGAGAAGACTGAGGCAAAGAAGGCTTTAAGTAGTTCTGCCTTTTCCCTACCCCCTGTCAGCATTGCTCCATCTTCTCCTCGAAGAGGCTCTATTGCCTCCTTGTTCTTCCTTTTCCTACTGACATAAGAAAAGAAGCCCTTTTTATTGTTTTTAATGTCCCTGGCAAGCCTGAGCTCATTTTGTGCTTTAGCCTTGCAGAACTTTTCCCTACAGGTGTTGGCTATTTGTTTGAATTCTTCTTTGGTGATTTCTCCCCTTTTCCACTTCTTGTGCATGTCTCTTTTGCGTCTTAGCACAGTTAGAAGTTCTTTGGACATCCATTCTGTCTTCTTTGCACTTGTCCTATTTTTTCTTTTTGTTGGCACAGTTTGCAATTGTGCCTTGAGTATTTCACTCTTGAGAAACTCCCATCCATCAGTAACTCCCTTGTCTTTTAGTATATGTGTCAATGAGAGTTTAAAACTTTTCTACAAATAGTTCTTCCTTTTTTCCCCAGGTGCATCTTCTACCACCATATTGCCTTGCTGCCCTCTATGTCCTATTAGTAGTGCAAGAGTAGAGCATGTAGATCAAGGGAAGGCACAGTCCTACTCTATTCTGCTTTGGCCAGACCTCACCTAGACTATTGTGTCCAATTCTGAGTATCACAATTCAGGAAATATATTGGCAAGTTTAAAAAGTATCCAAAGAACAGTAATCAGACTAATTTAAGGTCTGGAAGCCAATCCCTATGCGGAGTAGCTTTGAGAGATTGGTATGTTTAGTTTGGAGAAGGGAAGGTTCGGAAGGAACATGATAACCATGTTTTAATATTTGAAAGGAAGCTCCTTCTTTGGAAGCTTTTAAACAGAGGCTGGGTGGTCATCTGTCAGTTACTTTGATTGTGCTTTGCCTGTGAGGCAAGGGATTGGATTACATGGCCCATGTGGTCTCTTTCAACTCTATGATTCTATGACATCATATTGAGATGGAACCAACTTTTTCCTGCTGCTCTATAGACTAAGATGGGCCTCCTAATGGCACAGTAGATTAAACCACTGAGTTGCTGAACATGTTGACCAAAAGGTTGCGGTTAGAATCTGGGGAGCGGTGTGAGCTCCCGCTGTTAGCCTCAGCTTCTGCCAACTAGCAGTTCAAAAACATGCAAATGTGAGTAGTTCAGTCAGGCCCGTAGCCAGGATTTCGTTTGGGGGGGGGGGCTGAATTTTTTTTCAGGGGGGTTTTTGGGGGGGGCTGAGTTTCGGGGGGGGCTGAGTCTGAGTGAAAGAGGGTCTAGCCTAGCAAACCTTTTGTATCATTACCCCAATACCCCCATGCATATGGGATATATTGAGTATGGTGATCAGATCATGATATGAATAAGCATAACAGTTTAAATAATGCACCAGTAAGGCCTTTTTGCGGACCACCATGAAAATTTCAGGGGGGGCTGAAGCCCCCCGAGCCCCCCCCCCCCGGCTACATGCCTGAGTTCAGTAGGTACCGCTTCTGCAGGAAGGTAACAACACTCCATGCAGTCATGCTGGTCGCACGGCCTTGGAGGTGTTTATGGACAACGTTGGCTCTTTGGCTTAGAAATGAGATGAGCACCACTACCCAGAGTTGGACACGACTAGACTTAATGTCAGGGGAAACCTTTACCTTTGCCTACAGACTTTGAGTCTCCTTTGGGGAGAGAAAAATGGGGTGGTGGTACTAATAAGAATAAGAATAAATATAGGAAAGATTCCACTTAAAATTAGGAATACTCTCCTGATGTTAAGAGTTGTTCAAAGAGAATATACTGCCTAGAAATGTGTTAAAGCTTGTTATGCTGTTGCTTTTTGATGTGTTGGGCCTCAGCCTCTTGTAACCTGCACCGAGTCCTTTGGGAGATGTTAGCGGGGTATAAATAAAGGATTATTATTATTATTATTATTATTATTATTATTATTATTATTATTAAAGTCTCCTTCTTTGGAGGTGTTTAAACAGAGGCTGGGTGCCATTTGTTGGGAGTGCCCCTGTGGTCAATTATATTATTCTAAGAAGCAAACACTAGGTTATGTTCACGTAAGCTAGTGGTTCTCAACCTGTGGGGTCCCCAGGTGTTTTGGCCTACAACTCCCAGAAATCCCAGCCAGTTTACCAGATGTTAGGATTTCTGGGAGTTGAAGGCCAAAACATCTGGGGACCCACAGGTCGAGGACCACTGAACCTAAACCATTATAAGTCAGAAAACTTGAAAGTGCAAAATACATACTAGAACAAAGGAAGAAAAGAAGTTAATCTATAAGCAGCCCCAATAAGAGCAGACCAATTGAACCAACTGTTGAATGTTGAGCCAGCATCATCATTTTAATGGACCTCACAACCTCATATAAAAGAAGGAAAGGAAGAAAATTCAGGTGGAATCTTGGCACGATCAAGACTAAGAGATTTTTGCCAACTCTTTCCTTAGCCCCTGCGCCGTATTCTACGATGTAACATATTTATGGTATGCTGCAAAAGAAGGTCGAATGGATGAAAATGATAATACCACTGGTAAGAATTCTGGTAGCTGTTGCTGCTACTCCTGGCTAATGTTGTTATGGTTGTTGTTCTCTTCCTCCTTCTCCTTCCTCCTCTTCCTCCTTGTATTTCATCAAGTATAAGTCAACCTCATATATAATTTGAAGGCAGATTTTGAAGCCAAAATGTATGAATTCTGATTTGACACATGACAAAATCATTCTGTAGAGAAAGGAAGGACTGGAATGTGTCCAGAGGAGAGTGACTAAAATGATCAAGGGTCTGGAGAACAAGCCCTATGAGGAGAGGCTTAAGGAGCTGGGCATGTTTAGCCTGAAGAAGAGAAGGCTGAGAGAGGATATGATAGCCATGTATAAATATGTGAGAGGAAGCCACAGGGAGGAGAGAGCAAGCTTGTTTTCTGCTTCCCTGGAGACTAGGATGCGGAACATTGGCTTCAAACTACAAGAAAAGAGATTCCATCTGAACATGAGGAAGAACTTCCTGACTGTGAGAGCCGTTCAGCAGTGGAACTCTCTGCCCTGGAGTGTGGTGGAGGCTCCTTCTTTGGAAGCTTTTAAACAGAGGCTGGATGGCCATCTGTCAGGGGTGATTTGAATGCAATATTCCTGCTTCTTGGCAGAATGGGGTTGGACTGGATGGCCCATGAGGTCTCTTCCAACTCTTTGAGTCTATGATTCTATGATTCTATGACTGCAGAAGAGGATATTTATTTATTTTATTTACTGCACTTCACACCACTCTATCCCAACCCAGAAGGGGACTCAGAGCGGTTTCCAAATTGGCAATAATTCAATGCCGCATTAAGACATAAAACATACAAAATACATTATGCATCACATGGAGCCAGTTTCTCTTCACCACAACCAAAACTATTTTCGTAGTCAGGCATTCAAAAAATCCATAAGTAATGACATAGTGATGAGAGTATAGGGGGTGGTGTTCCTTTCAGGTTCTCCCAAGACATGCTATGCATTCATTTTTCACCACTTCATTCTGAAGAAACGGTAAATGTATTATTCACCATGATAATTCTTGATGCTTTATATTTCTTGATGCTAGATCAGGGGGAAAGTTGAACCTCTCCGTTATATGGGAAGACATTCTGTCTCATCTTGAAGGATCATCATCTTCTGCTTGCTGACAGCAAGACTGCTATGAGCATACTGTCTTTTCAACTCTAGAAGACACACCGAAACAATCTTACATTGTGCTCAGATGTGTTTCTTCAATACTAATAAATGCAAATGTACAGCACATTAATAACTTCTGTCTTCCTCTTTAGTAACATTGGACAGAAAGGTCACTAACATCATAATCAGTCACCCATCATTTATTGTGTTTCCCTTTGATGTTGTTGTACCATCTATGCAAGCAACATTTGTATTTTGGACAGCAGCTTGAAGGAAAGAGGGGCAACTAAGTTCACAGTTCAGGGATGAAAAAAGCATAAAAGCAAAGATAACCCCCCCCACCCCCCCACTCCCCCCCCCCCCACACACACACACACCCAGCCAAGTTTAGAAGTCAATTCTTATTGCTGTTTTTGTTTGTTTAGGTAGGAACATACAGTCATTGATAATATCTTTTTGTTGGATGAACCATGGAACTGTTTAATGCTGAGGGAGGAAATTGCTGGAAACCATTGGGTGTGGGCTGCTTAGGGCTCTCAAGGTGCACAAACAGAACAGAAATAAAAGTAGTATATTTATTGTCAAAGGCTTTCATGGCTGGAATCACTAGGTTCTTGTGGGTTTTTTCGGGCTATATGGCCATGTTCTAGAGGCATTCTCTCCTGACGTTTCGCCTGCATCTATGGCAAGCATCCTTTGCACCTCTGAGGATGCTTGCCATAGATGCAGGTGAAACGTCAGGAGAAATGCCTCTAGAACATGGCCACATAGCCCGAAAAACCCCACAAGAACCAAGTAGTATATTTGTTTGCATCCAGGCAATGCACATTGAAAACAATGGGCCACTGGAATTATGCATTATTCTGAGCTGGTACTGCTGATCCAAGACATTTTGGTGCAAAAACAGACAGACAGACAGACAGACAGACAGTAGTAGTAGTAGTAGTAGTAGTAGTAATACTTTATTTATATACAATAATAATAATAATAATAATAATAATAATAATAAACCAATGCCAATGCCATCAAAGCCAGAATTGAAAAGTCAACGACAGATCCCAAATGTAGACTCTGCAAGGAAGCAGATGAAACAATAGATCACATCCTCAGCTGCTGCAAGAAGATTGCACAGACTACAAGCAGAGGCATAACACCGTTGCTCAGATGATTCATTGGAACCTGTGCCACAAATGCCATCTGCCTGCCACAGAGAACTGGTGGGATCACAAGCCTGAAAAAGTTACAGAGAATGAACACGTCAAGCTATTCTGGGACTTCTGGATTCAGACAGATAGAGTTTTGGAGCGTGAGACTCCTGACCTCACGATTGTGTTAAAAAGCAAAGTATGGATTGTCCATGTTGCAATTCCAGGTGATAGCAGGATTGAAGAGAAACAACTGGAAAAGCTGAAATTATATGAGGATTTAAAGATCGAACTTCAAAGACTCTGGCACAAGCCAGTCAAGGTGGTCCCAGTGGTGATCGGCACACTGAGTGCAGTGCCTAAAGACCTTGGCCTGCACTTAAACACAATCGGCACTGACAAGATTACCATCTGCCAGCTGCAAAAGGCCCCCTTACTGGGATCTGCACACATTATTCACCGATACATCACACAGTCCTAGACACTTGGCAAGTGTCCTACATTTGATCGAATACAACAGCCAATAGAGTGTCTGCTGTGGACTCATCTTGTTGTGTTTAAAATAATAATAATAATAATAATAATAATAATAATAATAATAATAATAATAATTTATTTATATGCTGCCCTATCTCCCCAAGAGGACTCAGGGTGGTTTCCAACATAAGGCAAAACATTCAATTGCCAAAAAGTAAAACCATAGAAACAAATTAAACAAACAAGAAAATAAATAAACAAACTTCTTCTTGAGCTGTTATCTTAAACTTTAGCCATTGTACATTAAAGCAATTGCATCCTTGTGAGAACTGGCCATAATAGGGCAAGTATGAGCTGAGGTCATAATCGGGCAACCATGAGTACCACAACAAGGAGTGAATTGTGATACAAGTCTAAGGAGATGGGGCAGCAGGACTGATGCAGTCCCAACCCAGCTGAACTGCCTGGACATCGACGCAGCATCACAGGAGATTCAACCTGGTGCGTGTGGCTACTATTAGAGTAGATATGGTGTCAACCCACAACATAATGCTTAATGCTCCAAACTAGCCTCGAATTATTTGATCACTCGTGTCCTTACTCACCCATTAACTGTTCCATACTCATGACCTCTATGGTCATGGGACTATTGCTATGATTGTAGCTTACCTCAACCTACTTTATTCTATAGTGAGAAAGGGATCAATTTTTCTGTCAATCAAAGCACGAGTGAATGTCAGATTTGGGAAGAGTCATCAGTTCCCACTCTGTGGCTATTTTCCAAGAAAAGAGGCGAATATGTCACAAATATGCTACTAATTCTCGGTACACGGAGAAACAAATGTACCAAGATCAAATAAGTACATCAGATAACACTGCTTTACACATTCCATGTTCTAACCAGTTTTGTTCTTCCATGCAAGACCTGATCAGAATAGTGGTGGAATTCTTTGTACTCAGATCTTTTTGTTATGAGGAACATCTCATTATTATATTAAAAAGCTCCTGAAGAATAATAAAAGTCCCAGTAAAACTCTCTACTCACTCACCCTGGCTTTTCTTGTAGGGACAGAACAAATGCTATCACTTCCCATTGCGGTGCTATGAAATCCTGCGATGTATTTGGCATCATTTTAATTTTGGCACTGGTGACTTCTACTACAGGTAAGTAATTCCTGGTATCCTAGACGGGGACTTACCTAGAAAGTCAAGTCCAAGGATCACAATTGTAACCGTGAAGTAGTATGTATGGTGTCATCTCCCATAACTCTTGATAGCACATTATGGACAGAATCCCACTAGTGTTTTACATAACACACCACCTACCAATGTGCCTCCAGAGTGTAGCTGTTCCTTCTCCTTCGAGACTTTCTGGAAGTATAGGAACATTAAAAATATATAAAAAAAGGGTTTTATGGTCTGCATGTTACAGATAATTCCCAGAGTACTTCTGTTATATTTATACTTTATAACCTTTATTTATCATTTCAAAATAAAGGAGAAATACTGTATACATTAATGTATATGTTGACCTCGGGTATAAGTCAAGGGCAGATTTTGTAGCAAAAATTATGGATTTTGATATGACTTGTAGATAAGCTCGTAGATAATGCCACATAACAGAGAAAGCATCCTAATTGCCCCAGGGGGCTCCAATCAGCTTCCACCAGCTGCCACTACCGCCATTTTACCACCCAGGTATTCAAAAAGGTCCGAAACTGTCCTACAGTGGAGAGAGTGGAGGTACTTCTTGGTTCTCCTGGGGCAGACTAAGCTGTTTTCTTTCACCACAATAATACAGGAGGGGATGGTTCTTTTTATGATAACAGTTGAGGTATAGTACTTACATTAATCCATGGGTAAGTTGACCCAGATTTCTTGGGTTGATTTTTTAAAATCTAAAATTTCCAGACATATGCCTGATTATTAGGCATGTGCAACCCATTAAAAATGGTTCTAAACTGTGTTCAAAAGTAGGAGGTGCTGGTGCATTGTTTCGAAAGTGCTTTCCAAATTTTGGGGATAAATATTTTGGAAATCTAAAGAGACTTTCAATTTTTGTAAGTACTTAGTTATTGGCAGTCCCGATTGTGCAATAGGGAAAACATCACTGGCAGTGGGGAAACTTCAGGGGCACCTCTCAGCCTCTTTTTTGAGCTATCCTTGTGAAACTTGCTACAGTGGTAGAACACATTTACCACTGTTAGCCCACTGAATTTCAGAACATATGACTTATTCATAGCTTTTTGGCAAATTATTAAAGTTTTTAAAAACAACATTTAAAAAAACTACAAGAGCTATCTCTTTGAATGTTCTATCACATGACATAAGATAATAGGGGTTCAGTCCCCCAAACTTTCAGAAATATAAATATATTTACTGATTAATAATAATAATAATAATAATAATAAACTTTATTAATACCCCGCCACCATCTCCCCCAACGGGGACTGGGAGCAGCTTACATGGGGACAAGCTCGAACAACAAATTACAATACGAAAATACAAATTGCAATAAAATAAACAACTTAACATTAAAGTATAAAACATCAAAGCATATAAACAATATACAAAATAAACAACATAACATTAAAGTATAAAACATCAAAGCATATAAACAATATACAATAAAATAAACAACATAACATTAAAGTATAAAACATTAAAGCATATAAGCAATATTAAAGTGATTTTTAAACAGTTTTCAGATAAACAAAACTGTTTAAGGGGAGGGATAATTTTCTCTTTCGTCTCCTGACTGGTGCATTCTCTTTCTGAGGCATTCTGGGAAATGTAGTTTAAGGCAAGGCTTTTTGCAATGTCTACCATTGAGGGCCAGGCCTTCCTAAGCTACAGTTAAGATTACTGTGATTGGCCATATCCACAGTACCTCCCTTATGGCAGAGCCGGCAAAGATGGGCCAAAGGAATGAGATTTTAAAATATTTTAACATCAGCTTTACCAAAGTTGCTTAATGGTTATAGTAAAAATTAAATGAGTCTTGGGAGACATCCAAACATTACAGATGATTTATGAAAAAAATGGGTAAGTAATCCAAATTCTAAATTTCCCCACCCATACATTTCCTGCATGCCTTGGAACTCACCGTCATATGCCCAAATTTAACGAATCAGATACGAGTTCCGATCTAATCCGAAACTATGCACCAGTCTAATTATTACCTATTGCATACTCCTAATAATGAATGAAAGAATAAGATTTTTTTTTCCAAGAAAGAATGCTAGCATATGGGTATTATTGGATAATCAGGGACTTTTTCTTCCCTCCAAGGCTCTGATTTTTACAAATACTACAATTAACCAATAGCTCCCACCAATTATTTATGTGAACAGTCCTAATTATTTCAATATTATCATTCTAATGAAATTAGTAATGCCTTTCAATATTTGTGGTTTTAAATTTGGGGAATTGCTTAAACTAAATTTGCTTAAATGTTCCCTCTAGGTC